GGATAAAAACCAAACCAATTAGCGGATCCCAAAGGACCCACCTGTCCAGCCCCTGCTATTGCTCTTTGCAGCTCAGGCTCCAGCCCCAGGCCTTGCTGGAGGGAGGCCTGCTGTCCCTCCCTGCCCCCTCACTGAGCACTTTCTCCATCTCAGATTTCTTCTCCTGAGCTCACTCTCTGCAGACTCACCCATCGGTGACCAGCTGCAGCCCCACTCCTAAGGAAGGCCCTCGTGGCCCGCTTTCCCCAAGGCCATGAAGTCCATTCCTTTGTTCCAAGCTGTGACTGAGCTGTGGGCTTTCCCTGCCAGTAGCCACAGTGTCACCCACACTTTGGGCAGGTGAATACTTGCCTAACACTTATCTTCCTTTCTAGACCAGACGTGCCAAGAAAGAAGGGTCCCTGGTTTGCATTGCCTAACATAGCACCTGGTGCACACGCGGCCTCATCTTGTCTGATGACATGAAGAATGAGTAAGTGGGATTTTCTTACAGGTGACCATAAGTGTGAACGCCAGTACTCAATGGTACCCACTTAGGCCCAGTTTTGTTTCAATGGTAGATGTGCGTGGTCACAGGACATTTATCTTATTAATGTTTAGACTCAGGTGACTTGACTATTTGGGGATATTAACATGGGTCTCACACCTTTGGTAAGATCAGGATGCCTCCAACTTTTGGTTTGTTGTTAATTTTTCATAGTATTCCAAGAACTTGGTATATGAAAAGACTACCATAGTGATAAAAAGGAAGAGAAGAAAAATAGAAAGAAGGACCTAGAGAAAGAGGTAAAAGGAAAGGAGAGAAAAGGAGGAGGAATAAACTAATACATAACTATTTAGTGTTTTGAAAAGAGTAAAATTGAAACAATATTCTATATCAAGAGAGATGTCATGCAAGCAAAACTGCTCCTCAAATTTAAGATCATATTTGAAGCAAAAACAGCAGGGAGGTTAATCAGAGTAGTCAGAAAAATGGCAACACAAACCCAAGGATAGCAGGAGGAAAGAAATAACAGAAGGGAAGGCAGGACTGAATGAAATCAGAAACAGAGGTTTAAGACTGAGACTACCCTGTGGACAGCATGATGGTGGTTCCCCCACCCCTTATCCTCACTGGGCTCCTGGTCTCTAGCTCTTCAGCTGTCCTTAAAAAGGATGTAACACCACTCACTCACTTCAAGGAAATGTCCTAACATCAGCGGAAAAGGACATCTAAAGAAAATAGAGATCTATTTTATGATACAACAATAAACTTCTAATTGATATAATGCCATGCTGTATAAGAAGGTGACATTTTTATAAGAGTACAAGAATGCATCAGCAAGGTCACAGGCACCAAACCCTGTGTCACAGGTCTTGGGGCTTTGCCCCAGTTGATCAAGAAGGTAAAAAATGCATTAGCTGAGTCAGTTCTGTAAGGGGAAAAGGAGAAGGAAGCTAGAATTTACTCTGTGGTAGGCACTCTGCATGTTCATTTGATCTGTGGACTAACTCTAGGAATGAGGTAGGAATATTACCATTGTGCAAAAGAGGACAATGAGTGCCCTCCAGCTCGGGCAACTGCTCCAGGGTCACACAGCTTGCAGTGCAAAGACAAGATGAGCCTCTGAAGTAACCTTTCATCTTTTCTTCAGTCCTCACTGAAAGTATAGGAAAGCCAGCTGGCATCAGATTTGGGATGAGTCTGTGAGGAATGGAAGAGAGAGAGAGAGAGAGAGAGAGAGAGAGAGAGAGAGAGAGAGAGAGAGAAAGAGAGAACAGAAAGATAAATCAAAACGCAGAAAGATACAGAAAAGTGATAAGAATGGGCTCCAGGCTCAAGATCTCCCTGTAGTCAGCCCCAATAAACTCTGCTTCCTCTGTCCTCTATTTGGATCCTTACCATGTACCAAACAAAACACATTTCATCCATTGTAGGATACTGCCCCTCCATAAAAATCTGTATGAAGGCAGGATGCATCTTACCACACCAGCATCTTGAACTGGACATCGCTCAGATAGCTATCTCCATGCGGTGATCACCCAAACATGCAGATTTCTGTAGGTATTCAAGTTGGCATCACTTCAGATATACTGTGTGCTCCACGGGTCTCCTATAGGCTAGATTTACACCATGACACCACCTTGAAACAAGACCTGCATGGGTGCACTACAAGGCCCACAAACAGCTAGCGCACAATTTGACATCAATAACACAAGTGGTAGTTAGTACTTGAACACTGACTGTGATTTTGTGCCCTCTTATAAAACAAAGGAACTTGGTATCTGGAGAGTCAATACAGGAATTAGGCCCCTATACCAGCCCAGGGCGACCCATCCTGAGCTTTCACATGAGAAATTAATCTCCAACTGGATCTATCATGTTTCCAGGACCCAGTTCTCCTGCTGGTTGGCTGTCTGCTCTTGTCAGGTTTCAAAGTAGTGACCTGAGATCAGGTACAGAGTGACACAGTGAGAGAGACCTGAAGTCCAGAACCAAGTGGTGAATTTTTCTCTTTCTCTTTCTCTTTCTCTTTCTCTTTCTCTTTCTCTTTCTCTTTCTCTTTCTCTTTCTTTCTTTCTCTTTCTCTTTCTCTCTTTCTCTTTCTTTCTCTTTCTCTCTTTTTCTTTCTCTTTCTCTTCTCTTTTCCTTTCTCTCTCTTTCATTTTCTCTCTTTTTTCTCCTCTTTCTCTTTCTTCTCTCTTTTGCTCCCTTTTTTCCTTCCTTCCTTCCTTCCTTCCTTCCTTCCTTCCCTCTTTTGTTTCTTTTTATGGCACTGAGGATCCAACCCAGAGCCCTAGCTGACTAGGCAAATCTTTTATCACTGCACTATTACCTCAACTCCTTATTTATTTATTTATTTATTTATTTTACCAATTGCCAACATTTGAAAACTAAGAGATTTTAAATAAAAAATCTAACTTACTAGCTTTTTTAAATGAATTGTGCAAGAAGGCACTTATCCAGACCATCTGAGGAAGGTGTGGGCCTCATTCCCAATGACCCCTGGGTTGCAGTCAAACAAGACCTACCAAACCCGGTTGTGCTGTACTTAGACAGCCCAGAACCTGATAAAACTGTGAGATCTTAGGCTTCTGAGCTTGTCAATTGTTACACAGCAATAGAACACTGACACAGCAGGAGAAAAGCTCAGGGTCTGGGGCACTGAGAGTGCATATATTGGGCAGGAAGAAGAAGAGAAGAGGGGAGGGGAGAGAAGGGGAGGGGGAGAAAGGAGGAAGGGGAAGAGAGGAACAAGGAGTAAAGAAATAAGAAAGAAAAGAAAGCAAAGAAGGAGAAAATGAGGACAGTAGAGAATAATGAAGAGAAAAAGTAGGCAAGGGAGGGGAAAAGGAGACAGGAAGAGAAGCTCATGCATGTGATTTGGATGGGTAAATGGAAGGCCAAAGCTGTAAAATGGCCCCTTCAGTGTACCCCTTTGTTATGAGGCTGTGTCTGGTGTCTCGTTCCCTCTGAGGTGATCTGGTGCTCATTTTCCCCAGAACTATTTCCCAACTTCTGCTGCACTCCTCAGCTCACCTAAGCATACTTAAACAACCACAGGTTCTCACAAAAACATCTTGTAATTACTTGAATTGCTGCCTCTTGTAATGCCCATTTACACCTCTACAGTTCTTGACTGGGTCAGTATCTGTCTTGGCCACCATGGTCACCTCACCAAGGTGATCAAATGCAGTGCAAAAGCCTGAGGTCCACATCTGTTGGTTGTCAGAGGTTAAATTACCTCCATCCAAGGTGAAGAGTTGTGGGCTTTCCTCAGCATCCTGTCCCTTCAAGAAGTCAGTGGGTGAAGTGAGTCCACAAAGACTCTACTCACCTTCAGAGTTTGCCTCTTGAGGACCCAACCCTACCATCTGTCATTCACAGTGGCGTTTTCTGACCCCAAGGGCAATATGACAGCCAGCCAGGGAGAGAGATGGTAACAAGGAATGAGGAGCCTGTGGTGTCCAGCAGCCTCCAGAAGTGTTTTCTTCCCACAGCCCAGGTAAATGATAAACAGAAAGGTGACAACAGAGCTCCTCATCCACTCAGCAAGCCAATATTCACATTCAAGGTGCCTGAGCTAGTGTGGGCACAAGACCATTACAATGTAACCATGAACACAGATTTACTGGTTGGGCACCACTGGACAAGGTGGAAGGCAACTTCCATGATTATTGGCTCTTTTGCTTTGAGCAAAACCTGTGGTACAGCAAGCCCACTCACCTCGTGATCAAGCTGAAAATGACAAGGACAGCTGGTGTCACAATCCTGAGAAAAGACAGGGACCTAATACCTCCCACTGGCTCCCACTGCTTTAAGTTTCCACAGCCCCTAGCAACGTACCCTGGGGGTCAAGCCTTAAACATATGAGCCTTTGGTGGGCATTTAAGACCAATCTAGAAGAGCTACTTAGACTAAGAACATGGACAAATATAAAAAGAATATAAAATGTGTTGGTAAGACCCACACCAACATGATCCTATCAGTGAAAGAGGATTTCCAGAGGCATCAACTCTACACCCGTACTTATCTGTGGTTGTTCCCTAGTGCATAGCAGAGTAGCTATTCAACAAGCATGTGTTCAAAAGAATCAGACTTTTCCATGTCTTAGCAGAGACCAGGCATGCTATCTATCTCAGTTCTTTTTATCTCACTGCTGGGACAAAATGCCCCATGCCCAAAATTAAACAAGGAAAGGTATATTGAGCTCCCAGTTAGTGGAGGTTTCAGTCCATACTCAGCTGGCTCCAAGGAGGAATGACACATGGCAGAGGGCAGCAGTTCATGCAGTGGAAAATAGGAAAACAGCAAGAGCAAAAAAGGAAGGAGCAGCTACAGAGGCAAGCCTCTCTCCCTTCCTTATGTTGCATGCAGGCTCTCTGCCCCAGGGTGGGTGTAGCACTCACCCATAATCCCAGCATTGGATCATGAATTAATCACAAACTCTAGAGGCCTCCCCAGGACTGCTTGAGCCTTTGGAGGAACAACTAGACACAAACCACAAGACTATTTTATTCCTTGCTATAAAGGAAGGCAGAAGGAAAGGGCTCTGGCCCCTTCAGTATCAAGACTGGTACCAGGGGCTTCCCATCTGCATGTTCTATCCTCAAACACCAGAATACATGTCCCTATCGAGCAGGGCAGGACTAAGGTCTAGTGAGTTGGCTCCTTGGGGTGCTCAGACCTTCTTTGGTCTTCAGGTCTGTGGATGTGATTGCAGTAGCTGTCTTCCATTTACCACTGCAACGAATCAATAAAGGCTGTTTGTATTGAGAGAGAGAGAGAGAGAGAGAGAGAGAGAGAGAGAGAGAGAGAGAGCCAAATAACCCGACTGATTAAAGCATCTGTTTAGACACAGGGGGCAGGAGTTCAATCCCCAGGTCTACCATGCCAGCCCCACCCCCAGGGCTCAGTGAGATGGCAACTGAGACTGGGCATGGTGGCACACACCTGTAATTCCAGCACTTGGGAGGCTATAAACAGGAAGATCACTACAAGTTCATTCTACACAGTGAGACCCTGTACACCCTGTCCTAAATACAAAATTTAAAAAAAAGAGAGAGAGAAAGATCAAACTAATCTGTGTGTGTGTGTGTGTGTGTGTGTGTGTGTCCACATGTGCCTCTTGACCTATACAGCCATATTTTAGCTGAATGCTAGTTCCTCCTGTCATCTAGGCAAACATTAGAGTATTTTTAACCAGAATCTAAAAACAGTCTGTGTTAGGGATGCTTCTCATAGCTAGAAGATTAAAAGAGAGCAGTCAATAAGTGATTAAGAGAAAGTTGAAAGTGGCTGCATCCTCTGGAACACCTTGTCCTGACCAATAAGTGTGCCCAGTCAAAGGTACACTTCCCCCCACTGTCGGATTCTCAGGCTCAGGAGTTTACAGAGTTAGTGAGTACCAGCTTGCACATAACTCTCACAATTTGCTGTTGGTTCTGAGGGCCATGTTGGCCAACAGCACTGTTCATTTAAGCGAACACCTGAGAGCGAGCATGAGTCTTCCTGATGGGGACATTTTGAAGGCAAAAGAATTATCATGAAAAGTGACAGCCTTTGAGGACTAAGGTTTGTATACCTTTTTCCCTCAAAGGAAAGTGGAGTCACACTGTCCTCATAGATTTCTCCATTTCTGTGAGGAACGAACTCCAGAGTCATAGCCAGAAAGGAATGACTCTTCCAAGCCTTGTCACCATACAGATTGATTGTCCCGGAGACTGGGCTTTGGTGAATTCGAGACCCAGAACATTCATGAATCTTTCCTCTCAGTCAGAGGATTGCCTTCTCCCTTGAATTCAGAAGGAGAGAGTTCCTGCAAGATAAATAGATGTACACCCTCTGCGCAATATTTTATACAGGTACGTGATTTGGGAAATTAGGTCAGAAGAGGGAGGGAAAATGGTGATTCATTACCACAGCTGCATAGAGGCAGGATTACCTCATCAGAAATTCAGAGGTAATCAGTTTTTCCCAATTGTCATGGTAATGAATCACCATTGTTAATAAATTGGGAAGTCAGTTACACCTTTGAGTAGCTGGATAAACCAGAGCTGCCTGGCATCCGTCTTCATTAGAAAAGAGCCTATGACATGTGGATGGAAGAGGGTGCTAGGTGAGTGCGATTCCCTTCCTCACCTGAAGGTGAGGAGACTTGACTCTCTCCTGAGCATCATCGTGTCAAGTCACTCGAAGCCACTCTCCCCCAAATACAACTTTAAACCTGAAGTCACGCAGCCAAGATCTGGTACAGTGCCCTGATGGAAAATTAAAGGCTGCAGCAGTTTATTTATTTAATGAAAGAACAATGGCAGGCAATAATTTCTGAACATCACTCAGCACAGGCAGAGGTCTTTATTAGAATAGATTTTTCTCCCCACCCCCAAGCAAATAGAAACCAGAGATGGAGTCCACCCCTCCTCCTCCTCCCCCACCTCCTCCACCTCTCTGAGTGCTGAAGGTTTGCTCTCAGACCAGTCACATCAGAAAATCCAAGCCCAGTGGTTGGAAAAAAAAAGCGGTCAGGTTCAGAGCTTACTGTGGCATTTTATGACTCAATGAGGCAGCAGTCGGACCTCCAGCTCCAGGGGATAAATCAGCTCAAGCTCCATCTGCCTTCAGGACAGACAAATCTTTGGTCATGGAGTCGTCAATAATCCAAACATAACTTGGAATGTGGTTATAACTCTTTATTACTTTTAGGACCTCCAGAAAAAAAACTGAGACGAATTCTGATCTATCTGATATGATAATGGCATTTGACAAGTTCCTATTTAGTCAAGGGGTGGGGGATAAAAATGTTTGTGTCTGATCATTGTGTCAAAATCCTGCAAGTCATTTTCATTTCTCTCTCTTGGACAAGATTTAAAAGCAAACCCTGATGTGTTCTGTCATATGATCCTGGTGCTGAGAGTTCGAAACATTTCAACAGTAATTTAATACAGGGGATTTGAGAAACATGCGTATGAGAGAGGAGAGAGGGGCGGAGGGAGGAAGAGAGACAGACAGCGATAGAAACAGGGGAAAAAAATGAGCCCTGGATGATGAGGAGATTGCCTGATAGGAGACAAGATGAATAACAAACCTGTTACTGCTGAGTGTCTCATTTCCCCCTGAGGAGGAGAGCTGCGTCTGACATCTTCCACAGCCTCACTGCATAGGCAGAGGAGGCGGGTTAGAGAGCCCACCTCCCAACCCTGCGCTGGCTCCTGCGCCCCACAGGCACACCACAGGGATGGGCTCTCCCACGTCCCCCCTGCTGGGAAAGGCTGAAGGTAAACTCATTACTTATTCAGGTGCCAGTCTTCAACTACAGGTCCAGGAGGTGCAATGTCAGATCTCCATGGCAACGGGGATGCGAGCCCCTCCCCTAACCTTTCCCCTAGTGCACAGGCATGCACATTCACACGGTTGTCTTCTGCCTTCCCCTTTCCAGTTCGCTGCCCATTCTCCTTCCTCCCCGGGCTCTTCCCTCCCTTCAACCACCTTATCCCCAAGCCCAAGAGTGGGTGGGAGGCTGTATAGGGTGAGAAAGCCTTCTGCTCCTTTCTTCCACCCTCCAGCAACTCCCTCCAGAGCCCTAAGAGATATGTGTAGTTTAGGAGTTGTACTTTAGGAAGAGGCAGCTGGGGAAGAAATAAAGTGGCCAAGCCTTCAGGAAGCAAGAAGCACAGACCCCACAAGAACCACACTTGGGCCAGGAGGAAAAGCTTCCATCTATGTTGGGTCCCATAAGTCAAAAGAAATATAACTTCAATTAGCTATTCTTCCCTCTATCTCTCTGTCAGAAGGCACTGAGCTTATCCAAATAGCCTGCTCTTTATCTGGGGGTTAAAACACAGGGGGCAGGCTTGCATGCATGTGCGTGCATGTACGCGCATGCGCATACACACACACACACACACACACACACACACACACACACACACACGACTGTGGGACTTTCCTCTCTTTTCCTGTGTTTCTGTTTCACATTTGAAAATGATTCCTGTTGTCTAACCTGCTGCCAGACATTATTCCCCTCACCCTTGTTTTGTCTCTGAGGACAGAACCATGACTAGGCACTACGCACAAATGTGTGACTGGGGTGGAGTATGGGATTTGCACACAGGAAATGCTGATTCCCATTTCAGAGTCAGGCCTCAGGACATACCTTCATTGAACCCTACAGTAAGCCTACCCCCTTCCACTTCAAAACCTCCATGTAGGGAGAAATGCTGACCCCAGTCTCCATTCACTCTTCCCTAAGAAGTCCTCAAAAATTCTACAGTACAACTTAACCAATGCTTATTTAGAAATGCAGCAAGTTCTTTTCTGGCTCTCTGAACCCCTTCCTATCTCCCACACATCTCCTAGGATTCCTCTGCTTTCTCTCAAGCCATCATCCTCCCAAGCTAGTGGTTGGTGATGAAGGTCCCAGATTCCAGGAAAGGAGTGCATGTTCCAGACTTACATGGCTTGATGTCTTCCATCCCTTGTGATGGTAATCAGTGCTTAAAGCTAAAGAGAGGCGAAGGCTGGAGTTCTGGCTGCTGTCTCTGAAGCTGAGGGAGAGCCCAGCCTGAGTGAAGATGAACAACATAGCCAAGAGGGGAACTAAGAGACGGGCATGAGAAAGTCAGGTCCTGGGGACACTGTCTGAGGCTTGTTTGCAGTGCTATGGTTTGGTAGTATCCCCAAAAGGCTTATGTGTTGAAGATTTGGTACACAGCTGACAGTGTTATTGGGAGATAGTAAACCTTTAAAAGAAGGGCCTAGTTAGAGAAAGTAAAGTCACTGGGGCTATATCTTTTAAGTGAACATAGCACCTCAGTCTGTCTCTTCCCCTTCTCTCTCCCATCTCTCCTTTCCTCTTCTCTTTCTCTCTGTCTCCCTCCCTTTCCCCCTCTCTTTTACCAGCCACCATGTAACACCATGAAATGAGCAGCACCCTCCATTGTGTGCTTCTGCCATGATGTACTGTACTGCAACAGGACCAAGTTACCATGGACTGCACCTACTGAAATAGTGAGCCAAATTTAAACATTCTTTGAAACTGATTTTCAGAGTTATTTTGTCCCAATCACAGAAAACTGACTTACAAGAAGCAGTTATAACAGCTCTCTTTTCTTCATGTCTGTGGGCCACTTCTGGGCATAGTGGCATGCACTTGTTATCCTAGCGCCCAAGGGAGGGAGACAGGTGAAATACAAGTAGTGTCAAGGCTAGCCTTCACTACATAGCAAAGCTTTTCAAGAAAAAAAAAATTAATAGAAAAGAAAAGAAAAAATATATAAACCAATAAATTCCTTTTTCGCTTGAGCCACACAGACTTTCTGTCTCTGGCATAAAATTTTCAACCACACTTAGCATATAGATGCAGAAGAGTTGCCACATGGTAGGTACCATCCTGAAATAAGCCCAGCCTCCTCTCAAAGTTCTCCTTCATCCTGGGATCTTCCTATGGAGCCCCAGAGGTCATCTTTGGTGTCTTGGTGTTACCCCTTAACCCTGCTCATTCCTGCACCTCCACCTTTAGTCTTTCAAGCATGCCAAGTTCAATATGCCCCTGTCCACATTCTCTCCTGTCTTCTCCACAGCACCCAGCTAATCAGGACTACGGCACTCAACCCTGTCCCTCAGTGA